GTCACCCTGATTATTTAACTTATATGCAGAGTACATCATGTGAAATGCCAGGCTGGATGAAGCACAAGCTGGAATCAAGATTGCCGGGAGAAATATCAATAACCTCAGATATGCAGATGACACCACCTTAGGCGGAAAGTGAAGAACTGAAAATCCTGTTGATGAAAGTGAAAGAGGAGAGTGGAAAAGCTGGCTTTAAACTCAACATTCAGAAAACTAAGATCATGGCATCTGGTCCCATCACTTCATGGCAAATAGATGGGGAAACAGGGGTTGACTTTATTTTTCTGGGCTCCAAAATCACTGCAGATGGGTGATTGCAGCCATGAAATTAAAAGACACTTACTCCTTGGAAGGAAAGTTATGAGCAACCTTGACAGCATATTAAAAAGCAGAGACATTACTTTGCCCACAAAGGTCCATCTAGTCAAGGCTATGGTTTTTCCATGGTTATGTATGGATGTGAGAGTTGGACTGTAAAGAAAGCTGAGCACTGAAGAATTGATGATTTTGAACTGCGGTGTTGGAGAAGACTTTTGAGAGTCCCTTGGACTGCAAGGAGATCCAACCAGTCCATCCTAAAGGAGATCAGTGGGTGTTTATTGGAAGGACTGATGTTGAAGCTGAAACTCCAATACTTTGGTCACCTGATGCAAAGAGCTGACTCATTTGAAAAGACCTTAATGCTGTGAAAGATTGAGGGCAGAAGGAGAAAGGGACGACAGAGGATGAGATGGCTAGATGGCATCACCGACTCGATGGACATGGGTTTGGGTGGACTCCAGGAGTTGGTGATGGACAGGAGACCTGGCGTGCTCTGGTTAATGGGGTCGCAAAGAGTTGGACATGACTGAGCAACTGAACTGAAGTGAACTAATTATCATAAGACCTTTGAGTATGCGAGAAATCTAAATATTTAAAATAGACAAAACTTAGCAAAATCTAAGAAAAATGTGTATTATACAAAAGCACCTCCAGGAAGCCTTTACAGAGTGCTGTCCAAGTTTTTATAAGATTATTTAAGATTTGCTTGTCATATAGCACTTCGGTTCAGATGAGGTTTCATATCACACCTAGCTAGAAGCACAATTCCAAAATCTAATTAATTGTGACTAATGCAGGTGACAAAATTGTAAAATGAGGCAGTATTATTTTGTTTTAAAATTAGATTAGTAAATATTGTACAAAATAATGATTGATTGAATCTAAATTCAACTTAAAATACTATTCTAAACTGTAAATTTTATCATTGATAATGTTAATGGATGCTCAGCAGAAAAAAAAAGTCTACATAAAAGATTAACTAATGGATAATTGAAAATTGTTTTATAAATTTTTCAATTTAAGTCATTGAAAATAAAAGTAACTGAAGAAATGTAATGGCATGGCTATTCTACTTGTAAAAATAAACTTTTATATTTAATGCAAAATAAGGAAATGCATTTAGCAATTTTATTTTTCAATTTATATACTGTGGATTTTAATCAAAAGAAAGTAATAATCCTTTTAGTGCTTCCAGGGGTGAAATCATATAGCATATTCTAGTTAATCAATTAGATAATCCCTAAAAGTTTATTTGATGACAAGTCTTAAGATTTGCTTTCTGTTTTCTCTATTCACTGGCTAGAATATGAACCAGAGAGATCATCAAGGACACTGCATTGAGAATATTCTAGGAGTCCATTAATGGCAACACAAGAGTTGGGAAAATATCTGAGACTTTGTAAGCCAAATATGCAATAACACCAATGATTAAATTAAAAGTGTCATCAAAGCAACTGACAAAGAAGGAATCAACTGGAAAAATACATATTTTTGTTCTCTCTGGCTCTTGTGAAAAATGAGGTTCAATGTTGTCCATACTGTTCTCAAAGGGTAATATTATTTCTTCAAGCATAAGCAAAGGACAGATCAAGGGTAGTTAATAATCAAAAGCAGGATCCATTTTCATCTATGGCCAAATTTTAAATACTGTTAAATCTCAATCATCATTAGTTTATATGGGTAAATATTTAGCCTCAAAGAGCAGGAAAGAAATCAGTTCAGAAGCTCCTTTTCTCACAGAAATAGTATTCTGTGAGATGGGATCACTTTACAAAGATGACACCCAAGCAAATATTGAGGGATTCTGAATAACTGTTTCAAGACATTTTCATCTTCATATACACAAAGCAGTAATTAGGAGTTTTCCTTATTACAGTCATAAAGGAAAGGGTCACAGAAGTAGAAGAAAAATGAAGTGTTCTCTAGTTCACAGAATGTGTCATGAAACAAACATTTGAAATGCTCTTATATAATAATCATATGTACAAATGGTCATGAAGCCCCAGTAGTTGATCATGGGACATGTGAAGTATTAATTCATTTTCTTGGGCTTCATCACTTTACTCACAATTAAACTGAGGCTGTGGATTTTAGAAACTCCTACTCTTAGTACACCATCTTGGTACCTGCAGGGCATTGACTCTTAAGGATATAATGAGTTGGCTCAATTTTGACATTCCTTGAAATGGTTTGAATTAAATTGAAATATTTAATTTAAGAAGTGGGAGAGGAATTATAAGGTTATTCTATATGAATAACTTTCACAAAGGTAAATTTTAATTTTAGATATTTTTCTACAATAATTGTTTATAAGTATTGCAATACAATATTGTAATTTATGTGACATTTTTCATTACCAGTAAGAGCTACAATCACAATCTTTATTATTAACTACGTTATATTTAAAACACCAGATAGCAAGTATGTTCAAGGAATTTGATATTAATGAAGGTACCAGAGACTCTGTACTGAGTAAATGGAAATGCTAAATTTTAACAGAAATCTTTAAAAAATATTTCCTATAGGTTAGACATACAAGAATTACACTAATTTTAAATGTTAAATAAAGCATAAACCACTTATAAATACTTTTACACCAAAGAACACTTCAAATAATACACTAATTTAATGTACATACATAATATACCAAATTCTATTCTCACTTTGCATTGTAAGATGATATACAATGAAGCATTTTAATTAGAACCCAGGAAACATCTGTTATGTAATAATTTTAAGGGTCCTTTATACTCCCTTGTTGTCACACAAAATCTTGTGTTTTTTTTAACTTTTATTAGTACTATTAAGTCATAAGAAGCTTAAAAAATACAATATAAAATTGAGACACATCATTCCTTCCTCAATAAATATGTACACCCAGTTTGAAGCATTCAGTCATTTGTATAGGAAATTGATTGATCAACATATTGTGGAGAATAAGTTAAGGGGCAAATTACTCAAAGCAATGGAATGTGTTCAGAAAATTAACGCCAGAGAAATAATGTAGGTCTATTTAGCTGTGACACTAGTGTTGCATATTTTGTTTTGTAGTTTCAAAATTAAGATAAAATCTTTCAAAATATCCTATTTAAATCCTTGTCTCTACTCTCATATGACTGGAATTATGTTTCATTATATAAGAAATACCAACATGTTTTTTTCCAAAATGTCAGGGAGTATAAAGAACTGACATTCTTCTTTTGAGAGGTAAAACTAGAAAAAAAAAAACACCTTATTTTTCAGTATTTATAGAAAAAAGAAACATAATTACAGCAAAAATAAATTTTTAATGATTAAAGTAGTGAAACAACATGATTATAGTCAACATAAAAACCTATTAAAATTTGTTTATATAGTCTAACTTTTAAGCAGAGTGATGGATATTTATACTTATTTTCTCAACATCACTGTATTAGTGAATATTTTTCAACAAATCAACTAGAGTGTTTTTGGTTGTTGCTGTTTAGAGTATTAAAGAAAATCTCTTGCCCTGGATACCTTTCAGAGGGTAGCTTGGATAATTCAGCTTCACTTCCAAACTCCTGGAGATGATGTTTAAAATCTTCAGCAATTGAACAAGGCAAATAATTCCATGTTTCATGATTGATATACTAACCATCAGTTTGTGCATTAAGACACATTATATTACATCACAATTGTTGACATTCAGAGCAAGCAAATGGAGAGACAGCATGATAAAACATTTTTTTAATCACACTGCACAATTTCTTCCACAAATCTAAAATTGTGATTGAAAATTATAGCCAAAGTAACATGAGGTTCAGTGGGACATAATTTTTAATGTGGTTTTTGTTTTGCTTGCCTTTATAGTGGGAAATCCAGACTACAAGATTAATGATCTTAGCCAAATTTTGAAATCACAAATCACTGAGTTTTTTGGAGGGGGAATGGAATTATGTTGTTCCTAGAAAGTTATATCTCACTGTAGATTTCAATAGTTGATGTCCTGGAATCAGTCTAGGACAAGAAAAATAACATGTTATCAAAATTAGGTGGCTGTGTTCTAGGAGTCTCAGTTGCCAAGCATGCTATGTGGCTAAAATTCATATTGCTAAAATACAGATACACAAGATCAATGTTATGAAATTTAACAGTGGTGAGTACCAATCCTATTCCAAGCTAATTCAGACTCCTCTTACCATTTCATATCCATGTATAATACCTACATTCATGTAACCATGAATTGTTTCTTTCTTTTTTTTCCATTTATTTTTATTAGTTGGAGGCTAATTAATTTACAACATTGCAGTGGTTTTTGTCATACATTGAAATGAATTAGCCATGGATTTACATGTATTCCCCATCCCCGTCCCCCTCCCACCTCCCTCTCCACCCCATCTCTCTGGGTCTTCCCAGAGCACCAGGCCCGAGCACTTGTCTCATGCAACCAACCTGGGCTGGTGATCTGTTTCACCCTAGATATACATGTTTCGATGCTGTTCTCTTGAAATATCCCACCCTCGCCTTCTCCCGAAGCTGTGGTACATATACACTGTGGAATATTACTCAGCCATTAAAAAGAATTCATTTGAATCAGTTCTAATGAGATGGATGAAACTGCAGCCCATTATACAGAGCGAAGTAAGCCAGAAAGATAAAGACCATTACAGTATACTAACACATATATATGGAATTTAGAATTGTTTCTTTTTGAAATGAAGTATCTCAAATACATGGCTAAGACAGTGACTTGTACACAAAAGGCCATTTCAAGATAGTAAATTCATTTATTTCATATTTTCCAAATACATTTTCTTCACAATATTTTAATGGGAGAACTGTGTTAAGCAGGTTTCATTTTAGCATTGTATCTCTTTTATAGAAGTATCAAAATTGATTCTAAAATGATTATTCTTACTGTTTTCTCAGAGTCACACCAACCAAACACTATCTGCTTGCTCTGAAAGATGGAAATAAAAAGCAAACTGTAAGATCATCTTTCAAACTTCTTGTTTTAAATTTCTACTACAATATATACAGAAATGCCATCCAGAATATTTGTAAAAATTTATATCAAAGAGGAGCATCTTTGCTGGGTTTATACCATTAAACCCAGGTATAAATGGTTTTCTGCAATAGATACACTTCTATCTAATGAATGTTCCATATTTTTCAGAACACAAATATCAGAAAAAAAAACTATGGAAAATACTTGATTCTCTTTTTAAAACATGAAATTTTTATAAATCCACTTATATCTTACTGCCTCCTAGAACCAATTCATTTCTTCACTCTCATATTTCTATTCAGATGAGCAGTGAACTAAATGTAAATATCACCCTAAAGTCTCCTTTGAAAAGTGTATTTCTCACTTTGTTTAAAGTCAATTGAATTTAATTCTGCCTTCTGATAACAGTAACATTTTATTCCACTGCCAGAATTTCCTTAAGAACAGTGAATTTTTATTTTATCGACTGACAGTTTTCCCCAATTTGTATGATTTTTTTTAAAGACACCTACTGTATTTGAATTTTTATAAATACATGAGTTCTTTTTCAGTGCTCAATGAACATTTAGCATTCTGCAACATCAGTGGATATAAGATGACTCTCTTGGCATTAATCAGAAAATGAAGTGTATATTAGAAAGGGTGAAGAACATTGCAAATGTTGCAAAAAATACGAGGATTCAAATTATGTTTATTATCACATTAGTCTGCCTAAGTTCACCAATTCATGTCCAGAAGATATTTAGTAATTAATCTGAAACATCTGTCAACTAATGACAAAATACATAATTTACCTATTTCTTAAGATCTGAAAAAGTTGAATTTCATCTGAAAACACATTGATTCTAAGATAGTCCTTCTAGCTAATAAAAATCAAATGATAACCAAGATTTTATTCTCATTAGCATTTACTTTTCTTATTTTGCTTGTCCTGTGAAATTATTATCCTACATTTAGGAAAAGATTTCTTTGCTAAATAAAATAAAATGTCTTAATAAAAGTTATTAATTTTATTGGCTTTCTCAGGATTAGAAAATAATATAAAATAAACAGAAGATATTTGGAAAACACTTCCAATTTTTTATTTCACCTGTGGTATGCTTACTGTATGTTCATGTCTTCATGTAAAATAAGTCTAGCTCTTAAAAATCTCTATGATTTTGAAAACAGTTGAAACAAGAATTTTCTCTTTTAACAAACTTCACAAGCCAATCTATTAAAAATGATGCTCTGTGAAAGTAATTCACAAACCCTACTCATTGTAGATTTTTAAGTGAATCACAAATTTACCCCTCGGAAAAGTGCTATGAGGCTACACAACACACATAAAGTGCTAGTCATAAAAAAATACGTTTTTGTTGAGAAATGTTTCCAAAAAACAGAATGATAGCAATGAGAATTAGGAAATGAGATCACATTTTTCATGGTTAAATATAAGTAAAAACTCACCATGATGAGATGTTAGGCATCTGTTATGTTTGCCACCCATTTAAGATCCACCTTGGTAGAAAACATGGGGCTCATGTGAACTGTAGAAATAACCACTGCCCTGTAAACTCATTCAAAGCATATAAAAAACTCCACAGAGAGTAGGATTCTATTTTACAATTTACAATAACATCATTATGAAATTATTGTAATAAAAATGAATGCACAACTGAATTGGTTTCTTAATTTTGCTCAGTGATTGAGAAAGGCTAGCATCATATTATTTAACTATCCATATCCTTGAGTGACATAGATTCTTAAGACATTTCCTAATCATAAGTTATTTTCATTGCTATTTGGAATCCTAATAGACTTCTTTAATATCTCTAACTTTGGTGAGAAGAAACTTATTCTGACTTTCACATTACTACATTTTATTAAGCCGAGGTAGGTTTTAGAAGCTTTAATTCATTGAAATTGAGATGAAGACCTTCTTAAGAGTAACACAAACAAAGTCAATATATGGCATGATTTTGAGAGAAAAAAAATGTAGATAAATTCCATCATATAACTTTATTAAGGAAATAATCATACTTAAATTATTTAATTTAGTTGTGGATTTCTAGATAAACTTTTATTCATTTCTCCATGAAATACAGATAAAAAGACTGTATAAACTCTTGTTTTCACAATTTACTGGGTTTTAAATTATTGTATGCAGATGCCTTGCATCTTAATATGCTCATATTTTCCTTCAGGCCCATTAAAGAAAGCAATCATATTTCATTTTCCAAAAGTCATTATCCCTTAAAAATGTCTCTTGAAGGGCTCAATACCTTGCATGAATATGCAAATGCTCAAATGAATATCTAGAGTAGAGATCTCATATATATGAGATTTCATTCTCTTGACTGAACATGAGAGTAGCATGACTTAATTTTCCTAACTTCACTCTTGCTACATTGTGTCAATACAGATGTATAAACCAGAATAATGGTGAGTTCTTAATCTGAAAACTATAATCCCTTTTCATTGTGGGGGCTTGGGAGCATGGTGAGTGGGGAGGGTATCTTGATGCTATTCGACTATTTTGGGTAGACAGATTTTACCAACTGAAGCTGGAAGTCTCAGTATCATTAAGACCTGCTTATCAGATTCCAAAAGGTATTACTGTGATATATGCAGCCTGTTCTGCATATATATGCAGGGCTGTTCTGGTCCTCATGTACACAACTGTACTGAGGACAATGTCATGACCTCTGACATGACATGATCTCCAGAAATTTTGGAGTTTTTCCAGTATATCCTCTAGCAGGAAGTGTCATAGTGCCATCTACAGACAACACCGCCCCTATTATAATCATAATTTCTCACCCAATTTTCCTATAATTAGGAGTCATTTTATCCTGATTTTCCATCAAACTTAAATGAATTCATATACTTATTCAGATATTTCTGCAAAATATGATTATTTTGATCTCCTGTTGAGTCAGTAGATTCTGTAAAGCCTTACTTAAACTGAAAATAGTTTTGAAAAATAAAGTTAGAAAGGTTAATTAGAAACTTGGATTACCTACCAGTCTGGTGTGTACAGACACAGGGGTCTTGAAAGTTGTCACTGGATAGCTGCACTCAGAAACGCTGTAGGGATCAGAACTGCTGGAGGAACACTTGGAGATGGAATCACAGCCCACAAAGGTATTATCAAGAGGCAGTTCCTGGATGATGTGGTGCTTTGAATTTAGGGGAGTTTCCGGCTGGATCTGGAAAGCAGGCTGTGGAGAGGCAGATTTGTAGTGCCGGGCCAAATCAGGGCTGTCAGGCTTGAAAGTAGTAGGTGTAGTGCCCCAGTTGTACTTGCCCATGGTTTGCTCTTCCAATTCAATGGGAAGGTCTAGTGTGACGGTGTTTCTATCATTATCAGCATCCTCTGCCTTAGCTTCTTCAATAGTGACAAAGTTAAGCAGTAAGTTCTTAGGGGTATGCTTCTTCCTCTTCTTCTTTTTCTTCATCATCATCATCTGCCTGTTTTCAGGGTTTGGAGTAACCCATTCGGAATTCTGCTTGTTTTTCTGAGCAGCCTTAAGGTGTGGTGTTTGGCGGCATCTTACTACAGCAGTGATGAAAATAACAAGAATGACAGTTATGGTGCCAGCAACAATGGCAACCATGATCTTGACATAGTCACTTGATGGTGAGGATGTATCAGTTGTCTCAATATTTTGGGTCACTGGTGTTTCAATGTTTTTGCGCACCAATTCATAAATCAGTGTAGCATTGGTCATCGACTCATTCACAAATAGATTAACATTTATGACACTGAAGAGAGAATCAGGTTGCCCTAAATCCTTGGCTTTGACTATCAGTTTGTGTAAACCAAGATCTGCAAGGACACATTTCTCCTTCAGTGTAATGTTGCCTGTTGTTTGGTCAATCATAAACAGACCTTTTGTGTTCCCTCCTACAATGCTGTAACGAAGCTCTGCATTCATGCCAGTGTCATTGTCAATAGCAACTACTGTGAAGACCACTGTGCCTGGATTAGCGGATGGTGGAACCAATTCAAAGGAGTAGTTGGAAGGAGGGACAACAAAAACTGGTTTGTTGTCATTGACATCGACCACATTTATAGTGACTTTGGCAGTTGAAGAATGTGATACCCTACCACCATCCTCAGCCTTTACATAGAAAGTATAAGATTCTTGTTTTTCTCTATCAAATGAAATATTCGGTCGGATGACACCAGTCTGTGGATCAATTGTGAAGTCATCATTTGCATCTAAAATGGAGAGAGTTACTGCAGAATTTTCTCCATAATCAGGATCAGTTACAGTGATTAGTCCTACTGTGCCATGTCTTGGAAGGTTTTCTGGGACATAGAAGTTGTACTCATTGTGAGTGAAAATTGGACTGTTGTCATTCTGATCAAGAACGGTCACTAAGACTGTGGCATTGGTTATTAAAGATGGCATCCCATTATCTTTTGCCAGAACTGTGAATGAATATTTTTCCTGTTTTTCTCTATCCAGTTTCTTCACTGCAGTCAGAATGCCTGTACGATGATCCAGGTTGAATTCAGATGGAGCATCAGTGCCTAGCAGGTAATGTATCTCAGCATTACGCCCAGTGTCTGCATCTGTTGCACTTATTTTTGTCAACTGGGTACCAGGAGAGTTATTCTCAGGAACAGAAAGACTTATGAAAGACTGAGTGAAAACTGGAGCATTGTCATTTTCATCTTTTAATTTGATGAGGAGCATGGATGATTGATTCAAAGGAGGTTTGCCAGCATCTGCAGCCAGTAATTTAATGGCATATTCTCTTGTGGACTCATAGTCAAGATATGCAGCAGTCTCTAGGAGGAACTGATTACTGAACACTGGCCTTAATCTGAAAGGGACTTCATGATCTGTAAAGCATGTCACCCTACCATTATGGTCAGCATCCTTATCTGTCACAGTTATGAGAGCAATTTTGGTGTTAAGAGGAGCATTTTCTGAAAGAACCACAGTGCCATTGATTGGATTGATGATGTATCTTATGTCAATCAATGGGACATTATCATTGACATCAGTAACATTTACTAGCACCATTGCTCTTGCTGGCATCAATCCACCATCACTTGCCAAAACCAGTAACTTGTGGTTTGGAGATTCCTCCCTATCCAGTGGTTCTTTTACTGTGATAAGTCCAGTAGTAGAGTTGAGGTGAAATAGCCTCTTGGCCATGCTGGAGACAAGATTGCTGAAATAGAAATGAATCCTGGCATTTTCACCTATATCAGCATCTGTGGCATGGAGCTGTGTTACTGAAGAACCTACAGGAGCATTTTCTGGTATATTGACTTCAATCTCATCCTCCTTAAAAACTGGATGGTTGTCATTTGTATCAGCAACACTGACTTGCAAAATAGCAGTACTGGATCTTTGAGGAAAGCCACCATCTTCAACCTTTACTTTCATTACATATGTATCTTTTTCTTCCCTATCTAACTCCTTTTGAACTATTAATTGTGGCATCTTCTCTCCTTCTGGCGTTTCTATGATATCAAGTCCAAAAATATTTTGACCCTGAAAAACAAAGAATGAAACATTTTAGCTTATGTTATTATTTAATGAGGCTGGTTTTCAATTTCTTGAAGCCACATGACATAGGACCAACTCAGAAATAAATGCCAGAGACTTAGGTTCTAAGTCCCAAATTTGTCTATAATAGTGTCACCACAAACAAGGTGCTTAACATCTCTAAACATTTGTGAAATTTGAATTGTTCTAGAAGATATTCTGAGGACTTTTCAGGTCATAGCATTTACAGTGATAAATGTAACTAATTTTGTGAATTGTTAAAGATTTCAAAAGGAAAAATAATGTAGAATTTTAAAAAGAAAATGAAATAAGTGAATTAACCATGGTTATTCCAAATGAATTAAAATATCTCACGGTAGATTTCAGCTTTTAGGGAACTTTTCACTACCAAAAGTAACAATTAAGAATAAAATACTCAACCAACACAAAAGTGCATGTATCACATCTAACAAATACAGCTAAAACCTTTGGCAAAGGGAGAAAATATGCAAACTCTGATAAGAATAAAACGTTGTGTAAAGAACACAAACTTTGCTTTGTTTTCCCCCTATAGAAAAAGGTGTTAAGATGAATTTTTAGGAATTCCTGAAAATTCCTGGATCCTGGTGACCCAGTGGTTATGACATGGCACTTTTACTGCCAGGGCCCAGGTTCAATCCATGGCCAGGGAACTAAGATTCTGCAAATATGGGGTGACCAAAAAAAAAAAAAAAAAAAAGCATCTTAGAGGTTAACAGCACAATGTTGTTTAAATTCTTTTTTATTTTATTAGCAGGCACAATAGACTGAACCTAACATGCCAAAATGTCAAATTGCAAATTATAGCTTGAAATAGTACCCATATTTTATTCATGACAAAAAAGTCACATTATGGAAATGTCTAAAATCAGTCTCTGCTAGTTCTGGCTTCCCTGCAAACACTTAAGGAGGTGATTCAAGTAATATAAAATTGCAAAATACTTAAAGTGCTTGGGTTCTCTTAAGTGCTACTGTTAATCAACACACAGAGGGTCTCATACTCTTAAAGCTTTTTGTTGTTGTTCAGTTGTTAAGTTCTGTCCAACTCTTTGCAACTCCATGGACTGCAGCATTCCCTGTCCTTCACTATCTCCTGAAGTTTGTTCAGATTCATGTCCATTGAGTCAGTAATGCTATCTAACTATCTCATCTTCTGCTGTCCTCATCTCCTTTTGCTTCTCCTTAAGTCTTTAAAATGGCAACCCACTCCAGTGTTCTTGCCTAGAAAATTCCATGGACAGAGGAGCCTGACAGGCTACAGTTCATGGGGTCACAAAGAGTCGAACATGACTGAGTGACTAACACTTTATTTTTTTTTCTTTTAAGCCTTTAAAATAGTCAAATGTCTTAATTTTTATAAAGTCCAACTTATGTAAAAAAATAAATAATCCCTTCTCCAAACTACAATAAGATGAGCTCTACACAGCTAAATCTTGTTCGCTGATTGAGGAATAGTGTCTACTGGCTCTCAGAGGCAGTTCTAGCCAGTGTTTACTTGTAGCATTTTAACAGCACTGAGTAAGATAAAAAGCTACTGGAAGCTGTGAAGAAAAGATCAGAAGATCTTAAGATTCTTAGTACATGGGTGATTTATGAACCCTTTCATATACACACATACAACCACACAACACAATTTTAACTCTCCAATATATTTTTTAACATAAAAGTTGCTGACATATGGCGAAGATTAGTTATTGAGATCTCATTTATGTGCTCTGTCCTGAAAGAACAGGATAGCATCTGAGGTCTTTTTCTCATAATTTTGTCATACTAGTGTCTAAAATAAGATTCTAAATGTTAGAAACCAACGAATGATACTAAGCTTTTAGGGATCACTAGATTTTATGGTGAGATTATATGGTGATACTATCACTTTTAACTTACCAAAATATTATAATTGCTTTACATCAAATCTAGGACAATACTCAAGTACAACTACATTTTTCCTCATGAATTGCTTGAAGATAATTTTGCATTTTTTGAATTTTTTTGTGTGTGTTTAGATTCACTTATACTTTATACTCTTATTCAAATTGAGACCATAATATATCTTGATGGAAGAATTAAATGTTTATTATGAAATTAAAGGTGGCATTTCAGAAATGTTAATTAAAATCACCAGTTCGTTTCAATCAAATTTTAAAAAATTTTCATGAGCTAAGCAATGTGCAATAACCTTGTTTTTAATTCATAAACTAAATGAGCAGTTTATTAATATTCTATTCATATAACCAATAAACAGTCTGCTTTTCCTTTGCCAAGGGAAATATCTTCCGTGTCATATCTACACAAGTGTGGAAATTAGCAAATCTATTTTAATAAAAAACAATTTTGCAACAATGATAATAAATATAGATACAATATTAACTATTACAATTTGATCTAAGTAAACTTAGTTATTAATGATAATTTTATTTTTGTAATGATATTTCAAAAGACTTTTAGGAAGGTTCATATCTGGAATATCTCATTTATGGGTAGAAAAATAGTCTCTGAATTGTAGTTCTCAAAAATCCATGGCAGTTAATACAATTCTGTTAATTCTTGGCATGCTAATAGCAAGTGGCTAGTATGGACACAGCATTCATCTAGGCACTGGGGATAAGGTGGTGAGTAAACATATTTTACTAATGCAATGGAAATTAAACTTTAGCTAAGATGAGAGAAAATCAATAACAATCTAAGTATCTACTGATGTTGATACTAATAGATTTAGGCTAATTGAAATAACTACATTTTTATTAAAAGGTATAGAGGTAGATTATAAAGTATTATTAGAGGTTATATAAGGGAGAAGTAGCATGTATAACATAGCATAAAAAATGATATCTTAAATTCTTGAATTTCAAGACTCAGTTATCCAGTCTATGACTGTAACACACCTGAGGAAAAGAATAGTTTTAATTTTTCTAAAAAAAATGATGGGGATCATTTTTAAAATTTTTATAGAATTTGTTATAATATTATTTGTTTTATTGTTTGGCTTTTGGCCGCATGGCATGTGGGATTCCAGCTACATGAGCATATTATTTGGTTTTTGGCCACATGGCATGTGGGATTCCAGCTACGTGACCAGAGACCAAACTCACAGCTCCCCCTCACTAGAAGGCAAAGTCTTGACCACTGGATCGCCAGGGAAGAATTAAAATTAATTTTTAATTTTATTCACTTATGTTTATGTCTTTTATGATAGTATATTTAAAATTTGATCTTATGTGTTTGAATTTTGAATTGACCTTTGCTTTCCCAAGCAAATGATGGCAGGTTTAGGTTGGTTGAAAAATCCAAGAGCAGCATGATCCTTGTTGTTTATGTGAAGTGACAATAATGTTAGAAGATAGATTTTTTTTTTCAAATTTTCAAGATGACAATGAGATGTACAAAGTAGATAATGGATACTGTCCATATTACTCTTCTGTCTTCTATGACTGCTCTATCCAATGTAATAGCAATTAGTCACAAGTATTTACATTTAAATACTTGTAAATGAAGAAGTAGATGACAGGAGTAGAAGGGGACAACAGAGAATGAGATGGTTGGATGGTATCACTGACTCAATGGACATGAGTTTGAGCAAGCTCCAAGAGTTGGTGAAGGACAGGAAAGCCTGGCGTGCTGCAGTCCATGGGGTCACAAAGAGTCGGTGACTGAGTGACTTAACTGACTGACTGATTTACATTTAAAATTTGATTAATTAAAATTAGATTTATAAATCAGTACCTCAGTCTCACTAGACACGCTTAAGTTCTCATAGCTACACGTGAGTACTGGCTACTACATTTTACAGCTCAGATATAGAACTTGTCCATCATTACACAAAGTTCTATTGGATTGCACTGCTCTAAGGTGTCATATTTTTCTTAATAAAATTCTACATTCAGGTCAGGTGATTGTGTGTATACCTCCCACTCAGATATTTAGAGCTCTTCAAATGACTTGCTGGTTTATATTTTTAAATTCTATATTGTCCAAGCGATTTGAAAAGAAATTCCCCACATGGAAGATACAAATCATTGCAGTTCAGTTGGTCAGTCATGTCCTACTCTTTGCGACCCCATGGACTGCAGCATGCCAGGCTTCCCTGTCCATCACCAATTCCCAGAGCTCGCTCAAACTCATGTCCATCGAGTCGGTGATGCCATCCAACCATCTTATTCTCTATCGTCCCCTTCTCTTCCTGCCTTCAATCTTTCCCAGCATCAGGGTCTTTTCCAATGAGTCAGTTCTTCACCTCAAGTGGCCAAATTATTGGTGCTTCACCTTCAGCATCAGTCCTTCCAATGAATATTCAGGACTGATCTCTTTTAAGATGAACTGGTTGGATCTCCTTGCAGTCCAAGGGACTCTCAAGAGTCTTCTCCAACACCACAGTTCAAAAGTATGAATTTTTTGGCACTCAGCTTTCTTTATGGTCCAGCTCTCACATCCATACATGACTATTGGAAGAACCATAGCCTTGTGCAAACAAACCTTTGTTGGTAAAGTAATGTCTCTGTTTTTTAATATGCTGTCTAGTTCTACCCCATGTCAGTTAGTGCAACTGACATTCGAACCCGCATGAACAGTGAAAAACAACTGAAGCTCTTCGCCATATGTGAGACTATGAAATGAGAACAATGGGAAAGATGAAAGGAGAAATAAAGATATATGACTGCTTAATTCATTACCTTGATAATTTTAGCACACGCATGCCCTGTAGACAAAAAGAAAAGTTTGGGATAATTGTATAGATAGTATCCCAAATTCCAAACTTACTTAGAATCATTTCCCTCTTGTTTACAGGGACAAACAACTTCAGAAAATCCTTTGCTCTCTCTCTCAAATGGTCATCCTTTGGCGAGAGCACACTCACTTGTGTGTCTTTCTTGGAAATTTGCTTAAGCCTCTATCATATTAATGAAGGAGAGTGTAGGATACAATGGTATCAAGCTTCACTATATCTAAGGACATAGCACCTGGCATATACA